TGTGTGTAACCGTTAAATTAGTTCTGTATAGGGGCTGTAAAAAGTTACTAGATAGTATAGGTCGCTGACGAACAGTCATTAAGATCTCTATTTTTAATGATATGAAAACCCGGTCAAAAAAGCTGGTTAATATGTCAAAAATTGTCTGAAGAAAAGCTTATCATTCCCAACATAAATAAGTCAGTTTTTTCGAAATTCGGTCGGAGCGAAAAGATTTATCAGAGTTCTTAATTTAAAAGCTTTTGTATTTTGAAAACAAGTTGGAGCGTGTTTCATAATGACGTCTTTAATTTTTTAGGTTGTAATTCAAATTTCAGGCAGACTTGAATCAAATCTGGATCTGCTATGACTTATGCCTGCGCAGATATACTTAACAATGATCAGGTATAATTTAAATATCAAAGTTATGTACTGGTCAGAGTAGCGGATTTAGGAGGGGGGCGGGGGCGAGGGGACAGACGTCACCCACAAGGTATTCGAACCCCTGCCGACCCTGCAGACCCATTGTACTATTTTGAGATATCCATTTTTGGCTGACTGACCTTAAAGGTTTTCTAGAGGCGCATTTGGCGCCAATGTATACTATTTTTGATTTGAGGGGGGAGCTTTTTCCAAAAAGCTTTTTTCCGAAATTTTCCAAAAAAAGCATAAAAACGTCTTTTGGCTTCTTTATTTTTAGAAATTGCCTGCGGCGCAGAAAACTTTGTCAAATTAAGGTCTTTATAGTGATTAGGGTGAGCTGAAAAAATTGATTTGGTCGACCCAAAAAAATGTCTACAAAATTTATAATTTTTTTTGCAAATCCGCCCCCACTCCCTCGAGAAATTCCTAAATCCGCACCTAACTGCCCAAATTGATAATTATTCACAATTCACAACTGCCCAAATTCGCTATCGTTAAGCCCCCCTAACCTTACGAATAACAATCACATAAGAATTATCTTTTTAAATTTGACCTCAGCTCAACGTTAGTTTTCAAATTATAAAAGAAATTAATTCCGTGTTTTTCCTTGAGCAAAACATTTCGTCTTTTTCTTTGAAAAGTGGAACAGCAACATAAAATAGACAAATGTTTCAAATCAAATATGTTTCATTGAAACGCACATGTAACCTGCTTAAAAAACCACAATAGTTTTCAAAATTTTATCTTTAACTCATTTAGGAAAAAGCTACTTTAAAAAACTAACAGATTACGAGGGCAAACTAAGGAATATTTTTCTTGAAAGAGGGTTCCACAACAAGGACACTCTCTTTAATTCTCTTTTGTTCTTTCGTGCTCTAACACGTTTAAAGACTGTCTCTGGATTCTGGAAATCTATACACACCAAGTTTTGTGCCTATCCAGTGAAAATCTCTGGCCTCTTTATGCAAGTTGTACTTAAACACCCCATCACACTTTTTTCCAGCAAAACTATTTGACAAAAAATTCTATCTATAAACTTAGAAAAAAAATGAATATGAAACTCGCTTTGCTTAATTAAATCACCTCCCAAATATGCAAAAAAACATAGTGACGACAATATCAAAAATGTCGAATTTCTTGGTTTTTTTGTCTTTGACTGCCCAGTTTCATAGTGACTGTTTCATTTGTTCTGGGAAAGTTTTCCTGGGAAAATTTCATAAATTCCCCGGAAAGTTTTATAAATTTTGTGGGAAATTTTTATAATTTTTCTTCATTGATTTAGGGATCTCATCTCTAGGTCTGTATACATTCTAATTGAATGGCATTGCAAAGTCGTCCCATGGATAAGGAATTCAGCGGGGCGACCGAGATTCACTACTATCCACAGTCTCGAAAGGCCTATGTTGGTGGCATGGATCCTTTACTGCACTATTTATGCATTCCTTTTTAGCTCGAAGCTCCCACGACTATATCTGTCGCTCCCCTATCCGCAAGAAGTACTAGTTGTAATTATTTTCAATAGTTTATAAATCTAGTTACAGAGGACTCCAATGTGGCCTCACTGTAATCTAATAATCAATTCAAAAGAAAGGATCCTCGATTTATCAACACAATTGGTAAATTGTTTTTGAACTCACGACCACTTTCTCCCGAGAGAACTTGTTCAAAGACTTCTTCACTAATGAAGACGTTTGCATCTATAACTCAATTTTATTCACTAAAAATACTAACTGCGAAAATATTGCAGACCAACTATTTCTCTCTAGCTTGCTCGATTGCTCTCACTTAACTATGGCAACCAACTTTCAACTGATTTCGCTTTGATTCTTCTCTAATTGATGAGATTCAACTTATACTACAGCTCAGTACTAATTGTTTTTGTCCCAATGGTAGGCTGTTTGTCATTTTTTATGTTTTCATTTAGGTCTTACTTACATTTAGAGTTCTGATCAACCGTACAAAACCTGACGTTTACAATGGTACACTTCACATGAAGTCTTGAATGATTTTTTCCTCTCGCGACACTAATCCTAAAACCAAATCAATAAAAGTATCTTTAGATGAGTTGTGCAAGTACCAAGACCAATTTCACCTGAAAACCATGATGTGATATGTTGAGTTATTCAATTTCTCAAGGACTTTTTCAATTATCCCGTTGGCGTTCTGGCTTCCTGGGGTTAGAGGAGGGTTCTTAATATGATTAGCTATTTCATCGTAAGCCTTTAACAATCCAATGTGTACTCAATTTCAATCCCGACTTTCTAGCTATCGGAGGAGGGCTGTTTGTCTATTAGGGGTCCAAATTCGTCAAAAAGCCATATCTGGGGAGCTAAATAAGACCCTGTCTTGAGAAAGACCTTATGTTGTACTTTTATCATTGACAGTCTCCTCTTTGACTTTTTCTCTTTAGTCTAGTCAGTTTATCTTTAGTCTAGCCTTGTTTCACTTTCATTCATCCGACAACTTCAACGTTGCAACTCAAAAGCTACATACTTTTATCTTATGATTCTTTTCCCTTGAAAAAGTTTCCTTCAAGCATAACTATGCTGATCGACTCCCATTTCCAAGGTTTAGCTCTGAGGATCAAAAGCTTGCAGTGGTGTTAATACCGAGGAATTTCGTGCAGTTTTTGGCTAAAACGCCAAAAGGTGATATACAAGTCACCCCGCAACCACATGAGGTTCATTCTTCCATACTCGTTTAAATTTTCTCATGGGGTTTTATCTACCTAATTTCAGTTATGTCCCATCAATACTTCGCAAATAAAATCATTTTTGAGGTTTTAAGGTCCGAGAAAGGGCTAATAACGACAAAAAGAGTCACCGGAAGGTTTTCAATCAAAAGTTCTTGGTTGAAGTTGGTAACCAGTTATCCAGTTATTTGTGCCGCCATAAAATCAAAAAGCCTCAGCTCATTGTTTTGCACAAATGCCTTGTTTCGTCCCTTAGGGTGTTTTTCCAAAGGCTGAAAGTTTTGAGTCCAGTTGACGGATTTACTTCAAGTTCTAGTTCTTGATGTAAAAATTGTCACAATTTATCGTGCTGAAGCCGGTAAATGACTTTTGGAAATGGAGGTGGGGACTATTGACTGAGGGCAGCACAGGGTCTTAAAAAATGGATTTTGATCCCCTTCTTACCGCAAGTTACTACGGATCTAATGGGGCCATTTAAACTTCTGAAAACCGTTTTCACTTAGGCCATGGGTTCCGGGTTTGTGCATGCCCAGGTCACATCATATCTAGTATCTGTCCTTTGAGTTTCATGAAGTTAGCATTCTTTTTTTCCATTTGGAGGCGGTTATCATGATTCGTCCTGCCTTTAGTTTTTTATATAGGATGTACTAACTATTTGAAAACTCAAACTATTTCGGACTCGATCATTGCTTATTTTTCTACTTATCTTACTGGTTAAGCAATCGTAATAGTACATGCCCACCATAGCGTCGCCATATTGCATGCAACTCCCAGGGTAATAGTTTTTATGTCGAGTTTCCAGTTTGCCGAAAACGTAATTTCATCACTGCTTCTTCACAATTTTTTTTATTATACTTTTTTTTCAGTTCATGCTTATTTTTCAGGATTCTAAGAGCAATTAAAATTTTTTTGTTGTGGGCTATCTTGGCATGATAATGATCATGGTCATTCTTAGACTAAGGAAGCGATGGTGATGTGATTACCTCTACGCCTCTCATTTGAGAGGTTGGATGTTCGAGGCCCACCATGATCCGTGCTTGTTGCTTAAGGGTGAGGCAACATTACTTAGCTCACTAAAATTTCAACTAAAAAACTTGCATGTAAATTTTAACCAGAAGCACAACAGCTCGTATGTTGGTCCTTTCCCTTGTGGCTAAATCGTCAGAAAAAAATACGCTAGTAACCTGACACAAATCACAAAGTTGGATGAAACCATGTTGTATTGTGGGGTTTTTCTACCCAAATTTAGGTCCCTCAAAAAGGTTTCAATGACTACCGATTACGCAACATTAAGGAGCATTTTTGCTATGATTTCAATTACTTAGTTTCTTTATTAATGCCATCTCAGTGTCGAGTTAAGCATAGATGTGTTGTTGCGTTTCAGACTAATCCCCCATTCTGTGTTTTTGTACATATATTTGATTGTTACTTTTTAGTACTTGAAAATCAATTTCTTCTCTCGCTGCCCAAAAAAAGACGAACATTCATGAAGTTTTTTTTTCAAAAATTTGAAAATTTGTATCATATTTTTCATCAACATTTATGACTGGGTCAGTGTGCAGCTTGCTAAGCGATTTTTCGTTGTAATATCTTTTTGTAAGGTGTTTTTTATTTGTTTTATTTTTATTGGAGTTCTTTAATTTTGATCAGTACTAGTACAGTCCTAGAATGAGTATATATGCTGTGGTTTTGTTAATCATTTTAAAAACAAGGTGGCCTTATTAGTACTCTAAGAAACTATACAGATTTTTGTTAGCCGTTTTTTCTGTGTAAGCGTCAATTCACGTTAGCCGTCGTCTTCTGGCCAGAAATCAGAAACTCATGTGAGTCTAAAAAAAATTTTTTTAACAACCAACAAGAATGATTTTAATTTGATACAATTTTCGATTTTGAATAACAAGGGGCATGGAAATATTGTTCACATTATAAGCAGTATTAGGAAACTGTGTAGTAAATGGGCTGCAGAAATTTTCCTCTTAATAGAAAAGTGAAGCTCCAAAGTGAAGTTATGGCTAAAATTGCTCCGTAAATGAAATAGGTGTTGTAAAATCCCAGATAGTCATTTATGAACCCTCCCAATCCATAAGCACCTATGGTCCTGCCAGAAGCAGCTATGAGGTTGAAACTGGACGCCGCCAGGGTTTTTCGTTGTTGCGAATCTGAAAAGCCTTGATTGCACGCCACCTTCTCAAGAATTAAATAAGTTGGGTTAAAAATTGCCGAAAACATCAACCCATTTAAAAGTAAAACCATTGCAGCCCACGGAATGTTCTCAAATGCAGGAATGAATCTTGGAACAAATAGCATGCATGTTGTAAGAAGTCCAAGAAAATTAACTCCGGCACTGATAAATCCGGAATAACCTTTGCCAACTAAAGCTCCAATTATTGGCCCGGAGAGAATGTAAGAAACTGAGGGTGCTATGAAAAAGTATCCAATTGTAGTCGTTTTAAGTTCCAGAGTCTTTTGGAAATACAACGCATAAGCTGTATCGCGTAGTCCTGAAGTGAAAAACAGGCAAGATGTGGGAATAAGGACGCTCAAAGTGCTAAAATTGAAGAAGAATTGGAAATAATCAGTATTATCCACTTTTGCTCTGTTTGAAACATTTCGGCTGGGCAAAAATTTGACAGCAAGTATGAATAAAGTAATTTCACACATTGAAGTGAACAAAAACGGAGTCTTAAATCCCCACACAGGAATTAGTAAACTTCCCAGTGGTGGTCCGATTATGGTTCCGAGGCCCATAGAAACTTGAATTATTGTTGTCACGAGGGAGGATTTTTCGGGAAAAACGTGCGTGGCGATTGGCATCGTTGTCCCGTAGAGCAGCGAGGCGGCGACTCCATTCACACCTCTTGAAGCCAAAGCCGACCAGAAGTAAGCGTCTCCGTTCGGTCCTTTAAATTTATTTTGGTGAAACACACACACAAAGAGAAAGAGTATACTTTACTTGTAAGGTAGTAAAATTTTCGAAAGCAATTTGAATCGGACTAGGAGAGCGGACTTACAGCAAAACTTGGACCTCGAGATTTTCCTTTAGTAAACTTATGATTTTAGTTTTAATAGTTTAATTGTAATTGGCTTCTGTTTCCCCTCTTTATCATATCACCCTCGCGTTTTCTATTTTTAAATTGATCTTTTGGTATTTCGAGACACCCGATTTTACTATTAAATTGTAAAATTTTCTTATCAAAACTTTCCGGAAATTTTGGGATGGAAAAATCGCAGATGAGAAAAAGTTTCTGGACAATAAGATAATGTTTATTAATTCTAGGATTTAACGATGAGTGCTTCCACCCTGCTGAAATGATTGAAACGTTCTTGCGACAAAAACGTATCCATTAGTTTTATCAATGGTTCTTCTGCCGTTTCCTCGCCAAATGCCATTTTTTGTTCATAAACATAAACCTTACAGTGTAACATTTGCGTAATACAACCACATAATGATTGCGTAATACTACGTGAACAAAAGTTAGAAGCACCTAAAATGGCTTTTGTGGGAAAATCAAAGAAGAGCCCCATTCTGTTTTATACCTTCGCTGGAAAGAGCGAAGCACCCGATGCCGACTGAGCTGAAGAGGATGCCGACACAGTTGAAGAATTTGAGGTTGAGAGGGGAGACCAAAGTGGCGACCACAAAAGAGAACAGCAGATTGGCCAGATCAAAAGAGCCAATCACGAAGCCGATCTGAGTCTGCGACATCTCTAAAGTACAGCTTAAATGAGTCCCCCAAAGCTTACGAAACATGTATGGAAAGGGCGTTTAATACCGTATGTTAAGCGAGAATGGCTTTCAGCGAGTGAGGATGTGTAAGTGAGAAAAATAGGATAAACATAGTTCTTAGCTTAGACTAAGTCTATGAGCTATGTTTATTCTTTTTTCCTCAAGTTTTCCATACACTCTAAGAGATTATGTGAGTTAAAGTAAAGTTATTTTAAGTGACTTAAGTTCGCACTCTGTAATCAAGTTTGACCTGGTTGAAATCACCTAAAAAATTCTTTAAAAAGTTAATCTTAGGCTTAATAGGTTTTATTAGAGAGCTCGAAGGAGGAGCTTGCTTTGTGAAAAGTGCTGCACTAAGAAGTGCGTATAGAGATCAGGAGGCGCTATGATTTTTACAAAGGAGGTGGGTGGGGGTAGGGTCTTTGTTGACCAAATTGGGCTGGCCATTTTTTGGATTTACCAATTTTTTTTTTGGTTTAACCATTTTTTTGAGCTCCCTTCACAAGAACAACACCACATTAGTCAAATACTACAGGCAAAATTTTAAAGAAAATACGAGCCAAAAAATTACGAAGCTCACTTTTGTCTTTGGCCTTTTCTGGGAAGAATGGTCCTGCGAGCGACAAATTGACCCCCTCGAGCGCCAGCACCATACTGCAGATTGCAACAACCAGTCTTTTTTGCCACAGTGGCAAAGAAGACGAAGACGACGAGTAACTAACAAAACTCGGGAGAAGTATGCTAGATGGGTTCCTCCAAAAACGATAAAATCCTTAAAAATAGTCCCCTCAGAAATAATCGATCTTCTTTCATAAGGTAAGTTAATCCCTCAAAAAATTGCCTAAAAAATTTCCATTCTTTAGCTTAGGAAATTTTATTTGCATTATTACAAGGCTTTCTTGAGTGGGTGGTATCTGAGGTTTTCAAAAATATATGTTTTTTGAAATTCTTAAGTACCGGTATTTTGTAAAATCGCGAAAAAGCTACTATATTTGAATAATTCTGGTATTTTGTAAAATCGCGAAAAATGTTCTATATTTCATTAGTTTTTGCTTTTTCTCGGGACCCATCTCTCGTACACTTGTATACCGATGGTTCTCCTGTATCAAGGGTCTCATCTGGGCCTGTTGTTCCATCGGCGGCTCTTCAATTTCATGGACGAACTCAATCGACGAAATCGAGCTACTACTGTCACTTAACATAACTAGTACGGGTTTTGAGTCGCGTTAACAAACAAAATTATTCAAGATTTAATTCTGAGGACAGGAAATTGATATACTGGACAGGTTATGGCAGTGTAGTTTGTACTTGCCATATCGTAACTTAGTGATAACGAGCCAGGCCTCTTATGATGGTATGTAATGCTGAGTTCTTAAGCGTTAGGTGCACATGGCCACACTATTCTTGAACACTTTAGTGAAACTCTTGTTAAGTTATTTGACAAGCACGTCAAATTGTAATCTATGTATACATATTAATTGTCTGTAGAAAAGATAACGAATTGAATCAAATGGCATTCAATCGAACTTAGTTAAAGTAGGGTCAAAACTTTTGCTAACGTTTTGACCAAACTCGGTCGTACAATGCTGATTTAATTTAACTGAACAAAACGAATAATTTTTGAAATTTCAAACGCGTTTTTCTCAAATTAGGTTAAGATTAGACAAAAAATGAAGAGAACAAAAGTTGCTTAAAATTCTCCAAAAATCTCAACCAAAAATTTATCAAAAAAATTACAAAAGGGCTGAATCTCCAAAAATTTGAGTAAATTGTATAAAATTTGTTTTAAGCAAAAATTTTAGGTTTTATATAGTAAAAATTACATTTCTTGACTATCACGCAGAAATATTTTTTCTTATACAGGTTTTCGGAGCTTCAAATTTTCTGGAACTCTGTTGGGCGCTGTGTAAGAGACTTCTTGTGATATATATAATTCTCCTCAATTAACAGAAACTAGTTCCAGAGTAATTTTTGATTAACTGAAAAAAGCCAAAACGACCCATTTTTGGGGTAAAATTTTGGTTAAGCAACTTTTGTTAGGTTCATTTTTTGTCTAATCTTAACCCAATTTGAGAAAAATGCGTTTAAAAATTAGAGTTTTGTTTATTTTGTCCGGTCAATTTAAATCAGCACTGTACACGCGGATGTTTTTTAACCACAAAACCCGTGATCGAAAGCATACCTATTGGTCAATGCTATTTTGAAACATGGTCGAAAACAAAGTCGAACATTACATCAAAACATAGTCTAAAACTATATCGTCACATGGTCGAGCACAATTCGTAACATAGTCTAGCCCAAGGTTGAATGCAAAATTGAAAGATGTCAAAAATTTTATCAAAATGTTTTCAAACGCATCGATTTTGTTTCCCAAAAAAATAGAGCAAAAACAACTTTTGAGTTCAAATTTTATCGGATTATTTGTTGCTTCCAACTGTATAAGAGTGTATCAAAGATAAACACTTACAATTGAACAGCCATCGTTTTACATAGACTATTCATGACAAACACAACAATCTCTTACTTTGACACATTAGCTATCTTACAAGGTTGTTAAATCATACAGTACTGATTTCTACTACCCGGACAAAACGAGTGCAATTTGAATTAAAAAACGCATTTTTCTAAAACTGGACTGATTGTAAACGAAAACTGAGGAAGACAAAAACTTGCTGATAATTATACCAGAAAAAATGGTGTGTAATTTTTTTTGCTAGTTTTTGGTCATAAACTTCGATAAAACAGATTACTTTTAGTTTTATTACTCAATCAAACACAAAAAAAATTTTGAGAAAAAAAAACTAATTCTGATAAAAAGTTAAATTTTGTATGTCTCGATAAAAATCCATTTGTTACGTCTCAATAGGATAGAAATCTCGATAGAAAGATTTCTTATCGTATGTTTCGATAGAAATCTATCATTTGAACAGTGAGTTAGCAACGGATCAAAACATACGAAGGGGAAACAAAGCTGACAACCTTTGAGCAGACACAATTGTGCCGAAAAAAAATTACAAAGAATCTTTAAAATTCTAAGCCACCCTTGAAACTACAGTGAACAACACTTGAACTTGCAACAACAATGAAAACTGCCTACAGTATCAGTAAAGTATGCAATGTGGCATCCAAATTGACAAATAATGAGCCGATTATTAAATTTTTACCGGAAACAACTTGCAAATTGCATACATACTGGAAAAAAAACAAAGTAAGGCCGGGACGCGAACATCCAATCTTAATGAGCAAAAACGACGGGTTTACATCTACGCCAAGTGAGATCGAGCCCTGCAGTTGTAAAGCTTCGATAAGCAAATAAGACACTTGAAAAAAGTTGTATAAGGGAAAATGTATATTTCTCTATTAGAAGACACTTGCTCTTGCAAAGGTGAAAAATTACTTTAACTCATTTTATTTAAGCTTTGCCAACAATTATTCATGCAGTTTTAGATTCCGTTTTGATTGAATAAAAAAAATTATTCTGTTTTTCGGAGTTGAATTTAATGCTGAAATTTTTGCAAACTAATTTGCACTTTTTTAATTCTGGTAAAATTCAAAACAACTGCATGCATCATTTTTTCTAAGGTCATTCTATTTTGAGAAAATTCCGTTTTAGAGTAAATTAGTTATAATGAACGGTGCAATTAAAGTAAAAGAGCACCAATACAAACAAAACAAACAATAATCGTGTAAAATTTAGAACAAATAGTTTTGATAATTGGCTCAGTTAGAACACTAAAAATTAAAAGACCCAACCCAAGGTCAGCAAAAACAAAAGGTTTTTTTTCTTTTACGGAACTATTAAAAGAAATACACTCAATAATAATATGAAAAAAATTTTATGAAAAACGCAATGAAAAACGGATCCTGGACAAGCAACATTTCATGAAAAGGTTGTGAACAGATTTCTTCGTCTCAGGATAGACTTCGTCTAACAAAAAGTGAATGTATCTCAGCTTGTTTTGATATAAGTATGATATATAAGCGAGTTTTTTTGTTTTTTTGGAAAAATTGATGTCTTTAATTGTGTTAAGGCGTTTTGCGAGCCGTGAGATTTTTGAATAAGGGCAAAATAATTGGAAGGAAGAAACCTCTCATTTTTTTTGGTTTCAAAACTTGCAGTAGCTTATAATCTGTGCCAATTCATAAAGAAATGGAACAGAGATTTTTAATCATGCGACCAACAATTTTCCTAGTTTTTGATTTCCCGAAAAACTGATTCGATTCAAGTAATTTCTAACAGTTTAATACTTTGTTTCACAGCTTCTGTTGATAACTTTTGCATTTTTTGAAATTTGGTTTGTGTTGTTTCCAGAAAAGACCTTTAAAATTTAGATTTTTTGACATCTCTGAAGTCACTGCTTGGGTTGTATATTGTTGTTTCTGGCTAATATTTGATTATAATCTTTTTTCAAAAACCCGTTCTCGCTTTTCAGTTGTTGTGCTTAAAAAATGAGCCAAAATGATATGGTTTTATCTAAACTCAACCAAATTGAAAAATGACTGATAAGATTCCTCAGAACAGTTATATATTTGTTTGCTGACACTTAAACATTTTATTTTATTCATGCGATTGTTCTATCGGCCGCTCCTGAATTTTATGATTAACCTTAATCAACTATACCGAACTAAGACACTCATTTGACATAACAAATACGGGTTTTAGGTTTTTATCAAATGAAGTTATCCAAGATTCGGTACTGCGGACAAAAACTGATTTACCGAAAGGATATGGCAGTCTAATTTGTAATCACGGACACACTATCCTGGGAGTTTTTGAGAAAACACTTGATAATTTATTTGACAAGCCCGCTAAATTAGTGTCAAGATATACATAATAATTTTCTGTTGACAAAGCAGTCTGTTACAATAAGGACGTTCAAGCAAACTTACGACGGATCAGCAATCTAATTTTAAAAAGGTTCAAGAAATCATGCATCCACTTGTTAGCCAAATTGAGGTGTCCGTTGTCGAAAACTTTTTCGGTCGAACATCATTTCGGATCATTTTTGAACGCGTAATTGAAAATAAAGTGTGCTCAAAAGTCGAAAAAATACGAACAAAAATTGTGGTCAAAACTTAGTAAAAGACCAAATTGAACAATTAACTGATTTATATTCAAAAACTACATTGCCAAAATAAAGCAAAATTCGTTCAAAGATTGAGCACAAAGTTCAATACAAAATTGAAAAATCCCGAAAACTGTATAAAAATACAATTCAACACATTATCGTTTTCAATTTTTAATAGAACTGAAAAACAAAAATAGGTCGAGCGAACCTAGAGCTCAATTTTACAATGCTCAATAACAAAATTGTATAAAATGGCAGACGTGAAAATTCATCATATAAATTACTTGACAAAAACAGCTATCAATTAATTTGACACATTGGCTATTTTACCAGGTTAATATTTCATACATTACTGATTTCATTTATTGGGCCAAAACGACTAGAACTTGAGATTTAAAACTCGTTTTTCCAAAATTGGACTTATTGTAGATGAAAAATGAGAAAAATTTTTGCTCAAAGCTATAGCAGAGTTTATGCGTGGAATTTTTTTGCTAGTTGCGAGCCTTTTTACATTAGAACTGATTAATTTGGCTTTATTAGTCAAAGAAAACTTACACCAAATTTACCAGTTTAGTTTACCAGTAGAGAGTTTACCTTTCAGAAAACTGCGCAAACGTTTTACACAGAGGCAAAGCACGACTTCGCATCACTTGCGATACAACACAAACATTAAAAAAAAACATAAATAAAAACGTTTTGTAGGGGAAAATGTCCATTTCTCGATTAGATGACACTTTCTCTTGTGAAGGTAAAATCATACTTTAACTGAAAAGGTCGTAAACTTTCCCATAAAAATGGCATTTATGGCTTTGAGTCTAAAAAGTTTATATTTATACACACCCGAGAAAATTTTTGTTTTTTTAAATTTTTGTAGCGTTACCTAAAAAGTATATTTTATTTAAGCTCTGTCAACAATTATTTCTGCAAATTTTTTATTAACTCTCGACTGACTAAAAAATGTCATTTTGCATTGTTTCATTTTTGATTGGCTAATTTTTAGTTGACTAACAAACTAAATTGAACTATTTAATTCTGGTCAAAATGAAAGCAGCTTTTTTGTTCATCATGTTTTCTAACTTCAACGCAACTTTATATCAGACCGAGTTAGTTGAACTGTGAAGTGAATAGAAAGTCGGTAATTGTGTAAATTCTAGAATCCAAGATTGCGCTCACTGAGAAAATATTTTTGAAATACCCAATCCAAAGTAGACAAAAAGCTTTTGCTTACAATTTTACCAACATATAATTTTAAGATCAAGGTTCTTTTCATTAACAAAGCTATTAAAATTCATAAATTCAAAAAAAAAATGATAGCGCAAGAATAACAAATCCGGGACAAGCAATACCTTTTAAAACTGTTGAGAACCGATTTCGTCTCACGGCAGATGTCGCCTTACAGGGGCGGATTTAGGGGGGGGGGGGGGGGGGCGGATCATTGTAATTACCCTACTACGACCAAATTTCTGCGCGGCTGGCAACTTGTTTTTCGAGAAAATTGGTAAAAAAAATTGTGTTGTTTTGGCCCGCTTCCCCATCAAAATTAGTGTATGTTGGCAAATTTTGGGGTCAGTCAGCCAAACATGGATATCTTAAAGTATTTCTTTGGGTCGGCAGGCGGTTGAATTCCTGATGGGGAGGGGCACCGTTTTTTTTTCAGTATTCAATAAATTTTGTGTTGTATTCACATATTTAAAAAGTTTTTTATCACCAATATTTCCAATTTTGCGATTAAATTTTTTTCGCAGATGCTCGGAAACAAAAAGCACACATAAGGTTCATGATAACACCAATCATTTGATTTTGAGTTTAGTTCGAATTGATTCTATTTATAACTTCTTTGACATGTCAATTTCTAATTAATTTAAGAACAGAAGGCAAAACACGCTCTCCCATAGCAAAAATTGTGCAGAAAGTGTATTCGAAACTTTTGGTTCGAAAAGCAAATTATTTAATTTTTCGTCTACTCTGTTTTTTGATGTAGTTATTTCAATCGAAAAACTGAAAAGTCATCAAACCTTCTTTAAATTAAAAAAAGTGTCAAATTAGTAAGTTTTTTGAAACTCGAGTTTTAAAAAAATATATTGGTCCAAATTTCAGTTACGATTCTCCAACAGTCTGCCAGCTATCGTTTTGATTTTTTTGTGAGAGTGTTGACAAAAATACTGGTTGAACTGCGATTTATATCTGATGAAAAGATGGATCCTCAGTTTATTTGCAAATCGCGTTATTTGGTACTTTTTTAAACATATAATTCAACAATGTTAAAAACACGATCAAAGTTTTTTTGAAAATGTTTTAAAGTTTTTTGTTTAGTTTTTGCTTGTCATAGTTCAGTTTCTGCATCAAATTTCAATCAGTTCGCGTCGTTCATATTTTATTAATTTATGTGATTGCGATAGATTGAAAGTTGTCCATATGCCGGATTTGCGAATATCCGAACCCTTGCGAATTTTCCCTGAGGTAATCAAAAAAGAAACGGACTCTAATCCTTAGTTCCGTTTCACTAGTGAGATTTCCCTCAGTTTGAGTAGGGAAAACGGTATTGTAAAATTCGAATATTGAATTAGATATGATATATAAATAGATAGAATAGAGTAATGAATAAATGATTAACGAATCCAGAATTGAAGTATTGTTTTAATGTTTAATGTTTTTATGACTAGATTTAACATTTAAGGCTTTCGCAAGTGACCACCTCAGATTCTCAAGTGACAAACGATTTAGCTGGTGAGATTTGTCCTTGAATCAATTTACTGCACACTATAAGTAGATAATTAGGACATAGTTAGATAAGACAATACATAAGTAAATAGAATATAATGAGGTACCAAAGGTCGCCTCATGACAACTAGTTCTTTTTTACAAGGAACAATAATAGCAAAATACTCCATTTCAAATTGAGCATAATTGGTTATTTTTCACTTTCATTGAGGTTGACAATAAAACCCAAATGTAATCAGTTTTATCTATGGTACTTCAGTGCTCGTACCATCCAGCAGCTGAAATTTTTTTTGAAATTTTTTAAATATGAAAATCAGTTTTAATTTTAAGCCCACTGATAAATAAATAGTTTTTCTAAAAGATAAAAAACTTTTACTAACGCGACTTGAGAAGCTACCATGCAAGCAAATCGTTAGTTTTCAGCTAAGATAGTTTTTTTTTTCAATTTCAAGAACCTTCAAAACCCAAAACATACCCATCCTACCAGAAAAGACAAGTTTGTTCTTCATTTCTTCATTGTCGCTTAGATGAAGATCTCTCAACATGTAAGCAGCCCGCTAATTTTGATTAATCAATTTTGACAGCTTTACAAGTGTTTTTTGTCCAATAGACGGACTTTTGTTAAAAAGTAGCCTAACTCTGGTCTCTATCATCGATTTTGACATTTTCTATTTGCTTTGATCTTCGTTAAATTTC